ATATTTCAAAAAGAAAAACGACATTCTTCTGTATTTTGAAAGGCCTTTCGAATAAGCAGAAATTAGTTTTCGTGTCATATACACTTTAAAGCCTAACACGATGAACAAAATGATTCGCATTGGATGTACATTTAAGCTTACTACGACTGCAAATGAGAAAACAAACGAAAAATCGCCTCTGTAGTTCCTTGTGTTAGTCTGTTATTTTGTAGTTCTTGATATTCACCTCTGAAAATTATACTTAAACAATTATTCGCCTCAGGCTAAGTGAACAGTGGTGAATATTTAGCTCGGCTTCGTCTCGGTAAACATTCACCAATGTTCACTTCGTCTTCGGCGAATAACTGTTAAATATTAGTAAGCGGTCAGTACAAATTGCAGACTGGGTGCAAAATGCAGACTACAGACGGGGTACAAAATGCAGACTGCAGACGGGGTACAAAATGTAGACTGCAGACCAGGCACAAAATACAGACTAGGTACAAAATGCAGACTGCAGACCAGGTACAAAATGCACACTAAGCACAAAATGCAGACTGCAGACGGGGTACAAAATGCAGACTGCAGACGGAGTACAAAATGTAGACTGCAGACAAGGTACAAAATAGAGACTAAGTACAAAATGCAGACTGCGGACCAGGTACAAAATGCAGACTAAGTACAAAATGCAGACTGCAGACGGGGTACAAAATGCAGACCAGGTACAAGATGCAGACCGCAGACCAGGTACAAAGCCCAGACTGAGAACAAAGAGTGTTTTTTTTTTTTCGTCCAATACAGTAACATGTCATTTTTGGCCTTGTGTTCACGTGACCAAAGTTCGGCCATTCTTTGCGTTCGTGATATAAGATTCCTGTGAAGGGTAGTTTAAATAACTTNACAAAATGCAGACTGCAGACGGGGTACAAAATGCAGACTGCAGACGGGGTACAAAATGTAGACTGCAGACGAGGTACAAAATAGAGACTAGGTACAAAATGCAGACTGCGGACCAGGTACAAAATGCAGACTAAGTACAAGATGCAGACCGCAGACCAGGTACAAAGCCCAGACTGAGAACAAAGAGTGTTTTTTTTTTCGTCCAATACAGTAACATGTCATTTTTGGCCTTGTGTTCACGTGACCAAAGTTCGGCCATTCTTTGCGTTCGTGATATAAGATTCCTGTGAAGGGTAGTTTAAATAACTTGTGGGTTAATCAATTTTTGCTATGAAAGACAGGTATAAAACCGACAATGAATTGACGGCGTTTAGTGCTATTGATTTTAGAAATACATTTACGAGTTTCAACGCTGTACAAATTTAAGGTTCTTTATTTATTTATTTTTTTACGGAGACTGGGATGTAGACGTTGGAGGTATTTGTGACAGCTGTTTTTAGCATTTTATTTCGTTAGTGTCTGAGCCCTTTGTTCACGCAACTCTTTCAGTCACGCAGAAAAAAATCTAAAGATGACGAGTGGATTTAAAACTAACCTCTAAGGCGCATTTTCTGCGAGTAAGTAAACAAATATATGACTCACAAAAATTAATTCATTACAAAAATTAATTGCTAGGTCTATGATCAACATCTCACTGTATATATACCAACTGGGTCAGATCAGGACAGCAGGCCAGATCGCATTACATCCGTAATGTTACCGTAAGTGTAACGCATTCTGTTTACTTTACATTTAAGAGTGTGTCCATGAAAAAACCAGGCAGAACCAGGCAGGGGGTGATACAGCTCAAATCACCGATTTCGCTCAAACGTACCACAAATGTTGGGTTTGGCTAGTGAATGATTGTGGCAAAAAAGTAGGTCAAAAATATTTTATTCCCTTCAAGTAAGGGGAACCCCCTGCAAAAATGGCCATTTGACACTAATTTATGCATATTTAATTGGCCATCTTTAGTTTAGTACTTCTACAACAAGAAAAGCCATGTGAAAATGAAATCCACTGGAACATGTTGTACAACTATCAGTCTAAAAGCACAGATATTCATTACAACTTGGCAATTTGATTTCTGTCCGTGACTTCATCTTAAGTAAGGTGCA